GCTTCTGCTTCAGCGATACATTGTTGACCTATCAATATCCGCTTATTTTGATCATATTTTGAAGGAGCGATTCCCATAAGTATTCCCGATTAGTTATTTGTTTCACTGCAATAATGGCAGACATACAGTCTTTACGACACCATGGAGTGAAGGTGCGGTGCTTTACTGGATTAGCACTCCTACACTTTCAATGCTTATATCTACCTATTGTAAGATCATTAGAAGCTCGGGTGAAGCTTTCTACATCCTCATTTCGCATCTCGTTGTGAGCCATGGCCAGTGTACCTCGACGGGAATCTGCCCATGGTCTTACCCACCACCTTGGTGGCACCCTTTTACACTTTAAAAAATAAAGGGATGCAGCTGCAGCACTCGTCAAAAAGGCAAAATATGCCGCACTCAACCGAGCATCACTCATTATGACAATATAAGAAAACTCGACATGGACAATCAATTCTACAAGTGCTTTGTTTACAAAAGTTGATACTGATTAACCTCAAAAGTAATTGAGTCGTTCAAATATTCCCGCTTAAATGTTCCGGGAACACTTAGCCGTGTGTCGAGACAGGGAACCTCGGTTGGTGCAACAAACGCGGAACAAACACGCAACAGTTGCGCTAACTTCCTTCAACAGTTGCGCCGTGGAGACAAGGCCTAATATTGGCTTAATGTGGGAGTCACCGATGCGTTGTTGAGCGGTGACCTTCAAAGTCACTTTAAACAGCAGTTACACGATTGAATCGGCAGGGCCTAGCATTGTTGCCGAGCTAGAGGCCCAATACAAATTTTTCATAAGAGTTCAAACGGGTTAGTGAACATATTTATACAACCCTGACAACAGTGACTATTGTTCATAGGTTCAGAAATAACTTTTTTGGGCTGAACCACTACCCTCGTGGATTTGTCATCGTGCACACCAGCTCTACCTGCTAGCAACTCCCAGCATGATTTACCCGGCTTGGGCATAATTTTAATTTTAAGTAGGACCGTTCTCTTCACGTTCTTGTTCCTATCGATGAAAGACATTTTAATGACTGAAAATTGCGAAACGCATGCGAAAACGAATAAAAAAACTCCACTAACCACACTACACGACCGGGAGAAAACCAAACACAGAGCAATCCTCCAGAGGATGGCAGAGAATGGTTAGAGTAGAATGGTGATCGTTGATTCAGAATACCATCGGTGAGCCTTAATAATCGTCGGCCCGGCGAATATTAAGGTTCACCGCTCAACAACGCATCGGTGACTCCCACATTAAGCCAATATTAAGGTCCACGTTCACCGTGTATGTGGGGCTCGCAAGGCGCGATACTCTCTGCTCGCAAGGCGGATAAAGAATAGGGGAATACTGCATTACCTCCAACGGCATTACCTCCACAAGACTCCCCTGCGATATATCGAATCGATTGTGGCAATGTGACCCAAGAGGGGTTGCGGCCAGATGCCGACAGAGAGCGCTGAAACTCATACAATGTTGCCAGTCTGTAGTGTATGATGTGTTGCCTGTTAAACGAAATGAAGGCGCGATACCTATCAGCAAATGCCCGTTCTTCTCAACAAGCCAGTTGTACGGTGGATTGATCGCAATGAAAATTGAAGGCGATACATTGTTCAAAACAAATAGCTTTCTCGACTGACCCCTTTAGTCCACATAACTCTGCCGAAACGACCCTGAACTGTGTTGCTTTTCTTGTGTGTGTTGCTTTGTTGATCTTAGTTTGATTTTCTCGGACCGATAATGGCCCAGCCCATTTATGAAGAATATCAATGAAATGAAGTATCTCTTAAGCGACATTTGGACTCTCTTAATAGATGTTCAATGATACTACGGAACATGGATGATCGGATGGAAATGCCGAGATTGTGGCTGTTGGTCGATCAGTCCGTCGACAGCAAAATATATTCCCCTGGTCTCTATATATTATTCTGCTCTCATCAGCCGGTAAAAAACGGTGACTTTACGTCCCCCTGCGGTTTTGGGCGTTGGTCGCAGAGATGTTAAATTTCATGAGTTTTTAGTGTATTTTCCGAAGGAAAGATACACTTATTTTTTTTTTTTTTTTTTTTTTTTTTTTTTTTTTTTACCACTTCAAATAGTGCACAAGGGCCAATCCTTGCCCTTTATTCCCGTCCCCCTCCAACCCCTCAACCAGTCCCAGGCAACCATTGTTTGAGACTATCAAACTCGGGTCGTCTGGCCGGGAATCGTACCCGGGACCTCCCGATCATAGAGCTAGCGCCACAACCATTACACCACACTGCCGTGCTAAGGAAAAACGCCGTATGAACCTTCAGGCGTTGCCAAATTTCCTTTGAAAAACACGAATTTCCTGGTAAACTCATGAATATTTTCCCTCCACTTTTTCAGATAATTTCGCTCGTAATTCCACCGAAAAGTTCTGAAAATTTCAAGGGAAAATATTCATAAATTTCCTCAAAAATTAACATTGTATCGAAGGAAATTTGGCAACTCTTGAATGTTCATACGGCGTTTTTTCTTAGCACGGCTGCTTAGGAGGCCGACTATTACGAAATTTCATTCAAAAATTCATTACTTACAGAATACTAATTCAAGGAAGGAGATCATACAAAACGTTACATTTTTTTTTCTTCTTCTTCTTTCTTGAGTAGTGCAGACGTATGTTACAGGTGGGTTATGAAGATGAGGGAGAGTGAAACAAATCTGGATTTCAGAATTACGTATTTTATAGCTCCCCTAAGCACCCACCCACACACACTTTTTTTGAGGCGAACGTGCGGCGTTCGTCTTAAAAATTCACATGAAGTATCAAATTTGCAATGCACGGAAGAAAATGAAATTGCTGATTCTACAATTTTGTGGTTAAAAGAAGTGTTCGACGTGTTTCATTGTAGATTTTACTACCTATTAAAAATGCTAATGCAACCACCCCCGTAGCTCAATTAGCTTTCCATTATTGAAAAGGGACATTTTGAGACATTGATAGGAAGTTAATCTTATCTAAGGTGAGATAGGCTAGTAGAACTGAATGGGATTAGCCGATAGGCTATTTGAAAAAAAAAAAAAAAAAAAAAAAAAAAAAAAAAAAAAAAAAAAAAAA